CTTATTTGGGATTTTCTTGGCAAAGATCCTGGAGTGGTTTGCTATTTCCTTCTCCAGCTCATTTTATAGATGAGGAAACTGAGGCAAACAGGGTTAAGTGACTTGCCCAGGGTCACATAGCTAATAAGTGTCTAAAGCTAGTAGGTATCTGAGGCTGGATTTGAACTCAGGTCCTCCTGATTCCAGGCCTGGTGCTCTATCCACTGTGCCATCTACCTGCCCCAAAACTATAAATTAGCCTATGGCAATGATATGTATAGGTCCCTATGATGAATGAATGAAAAAGCCCTTACCCAGCACTTCCTATGAGCTGGCATTGTGCTAAGGTGTGGAAATATACTTACAAAAGCGAGACAGTCCCTGCCCTCAGAGAGCTTATATTCTAGAAAGGATCAAATGAGATAATAACTTAGTTCAGAGCCTGGCACATAGTAAGTGTTATATGAATGTTAGCTATTGTTATTATAAATAGAGAGACACCATATGTAGAAGAACAGTGGTCAGGGAAGGGAATTTTGCACTGGGTAGTCACAGGGATGGTGAGTGGAACCATAGGGCAGTCCATTGGCAAGCCTTTTTCAGGTGATGGCATTACTGTGTTGATAGCCTTGGTGCTAGCATGAAGCATGATCTAAGGTCAACAGATAAAATGAGCTAGGTGACAATTAATGACATCTCACCCCCCAGAGCAGTAGTTCTAAAGCTTAGTGGATTAATATATATCAACTAGATAGTCAACAACCTTCCTTGACAATAGAGATTATCTTACATTTCTATGTCTCTCGTATACAAACTCTCAATAAATATTGTTAGGTTATTGATTTATGTGTTTTATTTGTGGCCCAGCTTCACTCCCCAGTGGACTTTGGGCTCACAAGGACAAGGCTTAATCCTTGGGGCCTGACCCCTAAAGATCTCTTAGCATCTCTCTTTGCTTTGGTTCTTTGCCCTTACTCAGGAGTTTCACTCCAGGGGAAAATCTCCTGATTAGGTATGGCTTGTGTTTAGGCTGACTTACACGTTGGTAATGGTCACCAAGTTCGAATAGGCATGCAGTAGTAAGTGTGGGGCAACCTTTAGTAATTCCCACTGGAGAAAATTTGTAAGATGCAAAAGATTTATTGGAGCCCACGAAAAAAACAAACAAACACAAATCACTCTAGTGGTTCATTAGACTCTCCCCTGAAAGTAAATACACTTTGGGGGATTGCTGGACAAATACTACCCATTCATTCACCTAGGACTCATTCTAGCTGAGACTTCATGATAAGGTTTTGCACCTTGTGGCCATCTCAAATTGATTGGGGCACTCATCAGTTTGAATAAGCACTCCCTTGATCACCCCCATTATGTCTGGATCTGTGGAAACATCCATGCATCAATTATGTAGTTTTCTTGTGCATTTAAGCTTTGGAAATATAAATAAATAGTGAAAAATGGTGAGAAAGGGGAAAAGAACTTGACAAAGGCAAAATAAATCTTCACCCCTGCATTTAAAAATAGTTAAGTAATTTTATAAAATATGGATGTATAAGAAAAGTATAGAGGATTGTGCATTTTATGAAAATCTATACAAATCATCGCCAAAATAAACATCTAGTCAGGACTCTCTTACCACTGTTTCTCCTCCCACCTCCACCACTTTTGAAGCTTGATGTCTCAGGCATTAATGTTGACAGACTTCAGTATGGAAGTTGCCTGTTCTGAGCATAAGTAAGTTCAGAAGTCAGTCTTTATACTATATTATAGACTCAGAGAATGGTAAGCCTGGAAAAGACCTAGGATCACTTAGGTTGACCCTCTCATTTTTATGTGAAGAAGTTGAGATCTAGAGCTCTAAGGTAACATAGCTAAGTTAGTGGTAGAGACAGACCTAGGGGCAGCTCCGTGGTGCAGTAGACAGAGTTCTGGGCCTGAAGCCAGGAAGACTCATCTTCTTGAGTTCAAATCCAGCCTCAGACATTTACTTGTTGGCTGACTTTGGGCAAGTCACTTAATCCCATTTGCTTCAGTTTCCTCATCTGTAAAATGAGCTGGAGAGGGAATGGCAAACCACTCCAGTGTCTTTGCCAAGGAAACTCCAAATGGGGTCATGAAGAGTCTGACACAACTGGAAGACCCAGCTTACCCAAGAAGTCCCATCTTATATATGTGACATAGAATAATAATTGCTAATAATAGATATAATTATTAATATCAATTATTATTATTATCCCCCATCAGAAATGACTTTCTTCCCCTCCCTCAGATCTCACATAGCACCTTGTTTATACCTCTCTAGTACTCTTAACATGTTTAGTTTTCTATTGTAGTTATTTATGCTAAGGGTTATATCCTCATTATTAGATCTAAGTAGAAAGAATGTGTCTTATTCATCTTTGTTTCCTCTCATGCCAACCAAGCACAACGTTCTCTCTCACTGTTGAATAGAGGAAGGATTTTTGATCTTATTAAAGCCAATATCGGTAGATCAGCATGAGTTTAGATGCCTTTATGTAAGTTGTTAAAATTTAGGTTCCTTGACACCTAACCCTGATCTCATGGCTATCGTCCTTTCTCCAAATTTTCTCTCTTCTCTGGTCCATCCTCCATACCGCTGCCAAAATCATCTTCCTAAAGCACAGGTCTGACCATGTGACTCCTCTGTTCAAAAAACTCTAGTGGTTCCCTATTGACTCTAAGAAAAAATATAAATTCATTAACTTGAAATTTAAAGCCCTGGAACAATCTGGCTCAAACCTGCTTTTCCAGACTTATATCACCCTACTCCCATTTTGGCCAAATTAGCCTTGCTGTTCCCAGAACTTGGCTGTCCTTTGTACCTTTGTGTAGGCTGCAAATACTAAAATTTATTTCATCCTCACTTCTGCCTCTAAGAATCTTTAGCTTCCTTAAGGTTCATTTATACTGCTGCACTTCACGGTCGAGAAGCACAGTTTAAGAAGTGTTGATAGGGGTCACGAGTGGAAAAAGTTTAAGAAGCCCTGATCTATAGGAAACTTTTCCTGATTCCATTGGTTGTTAGGAACTTTCCCTTCTTCAGATCACCTTGTACTTAATTATATGTTTACATGTTGTATCTCTTACTAGACTGTAAGCTCCCTGAGGACAGAAGCTGACATTTTTGTCTTTCTATTTCCAGTCCCCATTAGATTTTCATTGTAGTAGGAATAGGAAGGAAACAAGCATTTATTAAGCATGTAGCAGACACTGAGCTAAGTGCTTTATAAATATCATCTCACTGAATCCTCACAATAACCCTGAGAAGTATTCTTACTCCCATTTTACAGTTGAGGAATCTGAGGTAGTCAGAGGTTAAGTGACTTGCTTAGTGTCACTCAGTTGGTAAGTGTCTGAGATTGGATTTGAATTTTTCTTCCTAATTCCAGGCTCAGTGCTCTACCCACTATATCCCATAGGTACCCCTGAGTAGGTCAGAAGTTCTTAATTTCTATGTATATCATCAACCCGTTTGACAGCCTTGACACATAGGTGAAGCCTATGGATTCCTTCTCAGAATAATTTTTTTTTTAAAGTTCATAATTAAAGGAAATACTAAATTTGATTAGAAGTTAGTGAAAGTAAAGATTCATTTTCCCATCTAAGTTAATCGAACCCCTGAAATTTACCCACAGACTCCTTCAGTGTCCATGGACCCCAGGTTAAGAAACTCTATAATAGAATGTCAAAATAGAGAAGAATTCTTCTCATTCTTTGCTTAGACTTGTATTTATAGTTCTCCCCCTACAAATTTATATGTGAAATATTTTATCTAGAGAATAGGAGAACTGAATTCAACAAAATTTCGATAATATTGATAATCAAAACAGCTATAATATGAGCTTTGATTCCTAGAAATTGAACTTGAGCTTTTTTTTTTTTTTTTAAGGAAAAGAAAGCAGAATTTCTCCAGTTGCCTGTTGGGCATCTTAAACCAGATCTCATAGACATCTTAAGTCAACATGTCCAAAACTGAACTTTGCCCCCAAACTCTCTCCTCTTCCTGACTTTCCTGTTCTCGTAGAGTGTAAAACCATAGTCCCAGGAACCCCTGGCTTAAAATCTAGATATCATTCTTAACTCTTCACAGTCTCTCACTGCCCCCTTCCTCGCCCCAGCTCTCAGTCTGTTCCCTTTGAGCCCACTTCTTTCTTCTGACACTGCCACTATCCTGGTGTAAGTCCTCATTACTTAGGCTTCTGGTTGGTCTTTCCGCTTCCAGTTTCTTTGTCTTCCAATCTATCTTCCACTCAGCTGTCAAATTGATCTTCCTAAAACACAGCTCTAACCACGTTGCTCCAATATTCAGTCAACTCCAGTGGGTCCCTATTACCTCCAAGATCAAATATAAAATCATCTGTTAGATTTTTAAAACCCTTCAAAATCTGTCTCCTTCCTACCTTTCCAGTCTTACACCTTCCTTACCTGCATGTACTCCTCATCCAGTAACACTGGCTTCCTTGCTGTTCATCAGATAAGACACCCCATCTCCCAACTCAAGGCATTTTCATTGGCTGTCCACCATGCCTGGAGTCCTGTCTCTCCTCATCTCTAATCTTGGGGCTTGCCTGGATTCCTTCAATTCTGAGCTAAATTCCTACCTTCTGCAAGAAGCCTTTTCCAGTCCTCCTTAATCTAAGTGTTTTCCCTAGAGACTACCTCCAATTTATCCTGCATATATTTTGTTTGCACATTACTTTTTACATGTTGTCTTTGTCTCTTTCATTCAACCATGAGCTCTTAGAGAGTAGGAACTTTTTTGGGGAGGGCTTTTTTTTTAACCCCAGTGCTTAGTAAGGTGCCTGGCATTTAGAGAGTACCTAATGCACTCTTATTGACTTGACGGGATCTGACTTAACCTCTCTCCCTCGAACCCCTTTACTCTTCCCCCCACCCCCATCTCCACTCCCAACATCCTTGCCTGTTGCTTTTGGGATTTAGTAGTGCTAAAATTCTGATAGTGTGTTATAAACAGCAAACATTTTCTTATTTTGTTTCAGGAGAAACTCATAGCTGAAAGAAGAGTTCCCATTCTGCAGAGCCAGCTTGAAGAGTACAAAGGTATCCTGGCCCAGCTACAGATGCAGAAATCCAAGCTGCAGGCTGAGGTACCTTTCGTTCTAATCCCCAGGGACATTAGGGCCCCTCCCCCTTACTACCCTGACACCTGCAATAGCATTAAATTGCAGCGTAATGCACCAATGCTCCCCATGTTTCTTTAGACTGTCAAGAGTAAGAGGAAGTGTATAAGTCTTGATTTTTATCCAACACCCCATTTTCTCTCTGCATGCCTTGTTCTCTCCTTGTGGTAACACCAAGCTTAGAAAACATAATTATGCCCATCTTCTCTTCAAGCCAGAAATTTGGTTAAAACAAACCTTAAATGTGCATTTCATTGGGAATCCAGTTTGTTTGGAAAAACAAAGGAAACCGAAGTGCTGTTACCTTTAGTTTACACCATTTTTTTTCTTGCCAGCATGCTTACCCCACCCACATCCCCAGCCCCTAGTTTCTATCACTGCTTTTGTTCTTCCTGTTTTCATAACTAGTTTTAAAATCTTACACTTTAAGCTAAAATGGCTGAGTACACTGCCACTTCCAAAAGGGAAGGGAAGAGAATAAGCATTTACATAGTGCCTACTATGTGCAGGGCACTGTGCTAAGTGCTTTGTATAAATACTATCTCGTTTGATCTTCACAAAAACCCTAAGAAGTAGGTGCTATTATTTTCTCCATTTTACAGTTGAAGAAACTGAGACAAACAGAGGTTAAGTGACTTGTCCAGGGTCACACAGCTGGTGAGTATCTGAGGCTGGATTTAAGCTCTGGTATTTCTGACTCTAGGATCAGCACTCTATCTATTGTGTCACAAACTGCCTCAAAACTAAATTCAACAAAAAATACAGAAACCATATTAGAGAATTTTCTTCCAGTTCTAGGTCTCTTTAAGATTATGATGATGAATCACGGATAGGAAAGCCAAATCATCCTGTGGAAGGATTAGAAACAGGTTAGAAGAAAAGGCTAGGGCAGTTAGGTGGTACAGTGGATAGAGTGCTGGGCCTGGACTCAAGAAGACCTGAGTTCAAATCTGGCCTCAGACATTTACTAGTTGTGTGACCCTGGGCAAGTCACTTAACCCTGCTTGCCTCAGTTTCCTCATCTGTCAAATGAGCTGGAGAAGAAAATGGCAAACCACTCCAGAATCTTTGCAAAGATAACTCCAAATGGGGTCACGAAGATTTGGGCATGACTGAACAACAACAAAGGGGAAAAGTGGGGAAAGAATTATTTTCTGGGAAAGCTTCACTTGTGTCATTGTGTGTATAGGTCTGCCATTGCCCATTGGCTAGCTGTCACAGAGAAAGAATCATAGAATCTCAGAGTGGGAAGGGAACCCAGAAATTATATAGGCCAGCCTCAACCTTGACCACATAGAGTAATGTCGCTGCTTATGTAGGACAGATCGCTACTCTAGAAGTTTAAAAAAAAAAGTTGTATTAATGGTATTAAGAAGATGTGAATATACATCCCATGTTGTTTCTTTTGAGAGGAGTTATAGTATCATCATCATCATATTATGAATTCTTGAATCTCTATGGGATTTATGTATATATGTGTACATATGTATATGTGTATGTATACACACATAGACATATTTATGTATGTATAAACTATTAGATCTCTATGGGATTTTAAGAAAGGCAGAGGAACAAGTGAGGAATGAAGACTGAAATCTGACAGAAATGAGTAGAACTTAGAAAAGATGCAAAACTAAGGAGAGTAACAAATACTTTTACTGCCACAATAGCACCATCTGATAGATTCAGTGTCAGGGAAGTTACACTTAGGAAGAAAAAAACCAGTTGAGGCAACTGATGTTGTAGCCAAGTCACTAACTTGGATTGAAATGTATCAAATCTCACAAAAATAATTTTTTCAATAAAATGATTTGGCGCCACCTTATGGTAGGTATCAGCAAAGCTACATATTAATAAAGCATGTAGGTCGTTTAGTCCCCAGCCTCCTCATTTTTAACAACATTGTGAAAATGAATAATGTTGAAAGATTTAAGGACACTGATTAATGCAATGATCAATCATGATTCCAGATCACCAGTGATGAAGAATGCTTCTCTCTTTCCACAGAAGTGATGGATTAAATATGCACAACATGACAGTTTTTTAGGACATGGCCAATGTGGGAATTTGTTTTACTTGACTATATATATTAGTTACAAGAGTTTTGTTTTTCTTTTTTTTCAGCAGTGGGGGAAAGTGGGAGGGTGATATAAAAATGCTTGTTAATTGAAAAAAATTGTTAAAAAGAAAGTGGGTCCCAGAGATGTTAGATGACTTTTTTGCCTAAGGTCATGTTGTCAGTGAACATTTATTAAGCACCCAAAATGGGCTAGGCACTGTGTTAAGTGCTGGGGTTCTAAATAGAAAAAAGAAAGACTAAGCCCTCAAAGGAACTTACTATCTAATGAAGAAAGACAATATATAAAAAGAAACTGAAAAGGAGGGGAGAGGAGCCCCAAATGATGAAGAAATGCAAAGGAGTGTAGCCATGAAGGAAATGAAGATATAACTGACTTAGATGCTATCTTAAAGGAGGTATTAGGAAAAGCTCTTTCCTCACCGTTCATTCAGAAGGGCAAAGGGTTTTGCTGAAGTATGAGTACCAAGGTTGATGCTGTCTTTGCAGGATAATAAGGTTCCTAATGGTGAGGTTTCTGGGGGCATGATGGAAATGTCCAAAAAGGAGCAGTTGAGTGGGAAATGAAGTAATGAGCTAGGATTTGTACCTAGGTTCTCTGACCCACAAATCTAGCAATAAAAAATAGTTTTAATGCTGCCTTTTGTTTTTTATACTGAAGTCAATTCCCAATATCCCCCCTTACCTGCCATGGAAACTTCCCTGCTAATAAATTAAAACAGTTAAGAAAAACTGACTGGAAATTGATGACATCTGCTACCATATACATTATTCTGCTTCTAGAATCCCTTACCTTCTCTAGAGAGAAGGAAAGTATATTTTATTATCTACTTTCAGCCACCAAGGTTGGTTGCTATTTTATTTTGGCATGTGCTTTTTAAAAAAAGTAACTTTTATTTTTCTTTTTATCAATTATTGAGCATTTTTCCCTTCCCACTCCTGCCCTCACTGAAAAAAAAAAAGAAAAACAAAACTTTTGTAACCAGAGGTGCGAGGTTAAATGTTTAACAACTGACTTTCAAAAAGAAAAGTATACACCACACACTTTTAAGCTTAATGTGCATTATTAACATTTTCTCCATTGCTTTATAAAATCTAGACAGTAAACAAAATAGTAAATCAAGCCCTGATTTGGAACACTTGTTGATTTTTGTGGTGTAAGTGCTTGCACTGAAAATTTAAGTTAGAGCTGACTCTAGTACCCTTCTGCTTATAACCCATATGCATAATCAAGCAAGACAAATTCCCTCATTGGCCATGTCTAAAAATGTATGTTTCATTTTCTACTCTGAGTCCATCACTTCTCTCTCAGGAGGTAAGTAGCAAGCTTCATTGATGGTTCTCTGGAATCATTGCTGGTAATTGAATTGATCAGAGTTCAGGATTCTTTACTGCTGCTGAAGCAGACTAGATTTTGCTTTAGACTTTTATTTTAACTCTATGTGAATATTTATGTTTCAAGTGTGTTTTTGTAAACAACATATTGTTGGATTCTCCTATCTAATCCATTGTGCTATCATCTTCTAATTATAGGTGAGTTTATCCCATTCACACTTATGGTTTCTTCCTTCCATTTATTTCCCATTGCTTTCCTTTAGCAGGTGCTTCTAAGTCCTACTAAATTTGGCATCTGAAATTCTAAGTTGCCTAATTTCTGACCAAAATACTTAAAGAGAAAAATATTACAATTTTTACATCACTATAATTTCCCCAATAACTCTCTCCCTTCCCTGCTACAGAGACTTTTCATATAACAAATAGTATTTTTTAAATAGCAAAACAAAAATCAGTATACTGAAAATATGTATACTGTACAACATTTGTGGACCTTTCATCTCTGCGAAGGGAAGGGGGATATTATTTAAATGATAACCTTCAATATTATTTTACACTTTTTACAAACTATATTTAAACTTTTATAGCCCTATATTTTATTTTTTTCCAATTATATGTAAAAACAATTTTAACATTCATTTAAAAATATTTTAATTTCAATTCTTTCCCTCTTTCCTTCCCTCCCTCCCCCCTTCCTCCTCATTGAGAAGGCAAGCAATTTGATAGGTTATATATGTGCAGCTATGCAAAACATATTTCCATATTAGTCATGTTGTGAAAGAAGAGACAGACAAAAACATGAGAAAAAAAGTAAAATATAGTATGCTTCGATCTGCATTCAACTCCATCAGTTCTTACTCTGGAGGTGGATGGCATTTTTCATCCTAAGTCCTTGGGAATTGTCTTGGATTTTTTTTTATTGCTAAGAATAGCTAAGTCATTTACAGTTGATCGTCCTGCAATATTGCTGTTCCTGTGTATAATGTTCTTCTGGTTTTGCTCACTTCACTTTGCATCAGTTTGTGAAAGCCTCTCTAGGTTTTTCTGAAAGCATCCTGCTCATCATTTTTTACAGCACAATAGTATTCCATTACAATCAGATACCACAATTTGTTTAGCCATTCCTCAATTGATGGGTATTCTCTTAATTTCCAATTCTTTGTCAATACAAAAAGAGCTATTATAAATATTATTGTACACATAAGTCCTTTTTCTTTTTCGTTGTTTTGAGATACAGACTTAGTAGTGGTATTGCTGGGTCAAAGACTATGCACAATTTTTTAGCCTTTTGGGCATAGTTCCAAATTGTTCTCCAGAATGGTTGGATTAGTTTACAATTCCACCAATGGTACTTTAGCATCCCAATTTTCCCACATCACCTCTAACGTTTGTTATTTGCCATATTAACTAATCTGATAGATGTGAGGTGGTATTTCAGAGTTGTTTTGATTTGCATTTCTCTAATCAATAGTGATTTAGAGCATTTTTTCAAATGACTGCGGATAGCTTTGATTTCTTCATCTGAAAACTGCCTCTTCATATCCTTGGACCATAT